CGGGGCTTTCGCAAGCGCGGGGGGCTGCTTAGGCCGGCCGCGACCCCTTTCAACGGGCCCTGCTGCTCCTCGCGTTGCTTTTGCGAAGCAGGTTCCCACTGCCCCAGCTGGCCCGAAGCCAGTGGTTTCGTTACCCACCGCCGTTCTGTTAATAGGGCGCGGTATATAATGGTAGTTTTACCGTCTTTCTCCTCCGTGCGCGTGTGTAACGCGTCCTGGGAGTAAGTGGGGCGGGGGGGAGCACAAATGCGGGCTCCATTGAGAACGGGTGTTCAGGCTTGGTTTAATGAATGAACCGTTCGTGTGCTGAAGACACGGTCATGTTTGAATTGCTGGCTGTGAGTAGTTTCTGCTTCGCGATCGGTGGAGTAGAGCGCTGCGTCTCAACCTTGGCAATTTTTGGACTGAACTCCCCGCATTCCCTACCAGCCTCCTGGCTTGGGAATTCTGGCAGTTGCAATCCACACTTCTGAAAGTTGCCAAGGTTGAGACACACTGCACTATGGTATGGAATACTCGATTTCTAGCACTTGCCAGAATATTTATATCATGCTTGAAAGAGCCCCGACTTATAATCAGCGGCTAAATTAGAAAGACACCAACCTAAAAATGTCAGGGGTACTGTTACATTGAAACTAGGTTAGTGTGTTTTAAAGGCGACATTGAAGAGCTCCAGAAGGATCTGCCTAGAATGGGCATGAAAATGGCAAAAGCAGTTCACAGTAAGAAAAAAAAGTTGGGCACACGAAGGATAAAAAATGCAGTTTGATATATTGGCTGAGGGGGTCTGAGTTAATGACCAAGAAAGCGATGCTTGCTGGAGCAAAGGCAAATGCTTGGGGTCATTAGGAAAGGAGTGAAAACAGACTATTTTAACACTGTTATGCACAGCTGTGGGGTGACCAAGTTGAATATTATGTTCAGTCCAGGCCATCATACCCTGAAAAGGGCAGGCTGGAGCTGGACAAGTGCAAAACGGGCTTGAAGACTCCCCGTGTGAAAGATTACATCTTGGAATAGAATGTTCTCCCTAGCAAGGCCACGCAGCAACTCACAGCCAGAAAATACTATGTATGTCCCCCCCACCCCAAGTTTTGAATTATGCTTTTATTTAAAGACAGCTTGGTCAACAGGGGAGATGGTAGTTTCTTTTTCCAGATAGTTTTCTGCCATCAGTGTATGTATTTAGTCTATGTAATTTTAATATTTAATCTAAAAGCTGAGCCAGTAATTCCAACTGTGATATAGTCCTGTGCAGAGAGTGAGAAAAGCACATTGTCTTGCCTCAATGCGTCTCTTTAAACAAATTTTAACTCTGTCTGAAATCTGCCTGCCTTTCAAGGAGGTGGTAACATTATGCAGTTAGGCAATGTAAATGTTCTCTCATTCACTTTTTTAGAAAAAGCCAGTAGTACTAATAAAATCATGATCCAACCCTGCAGGTAATTTGTGCCTCCACATGTTTTGGACTTCAGAATTTCCTAATTTTTTTAAAACACTGGGAGTGTTAAAGTAGGCATGATGGGAGTTGTCATCCAAAGCAACTGGAGGATCCCAAGTCTAGACATACTGTATTTGGGCTGCAAAATCCAGGTGATTGCTAATTGGCAGAGTTTTGAGTTTTCTGTATTTCTGCTGCCCTTTAGTGATCGTTTAGATTTTTGCAGCCCAGAATTGCTGTGCCTAACCAAACGGCCTACACCGCGTGGAGGCTTGTTAGAAGCAGGAAGTCCTCTTTTAACAGGAAACATTTGGCTCCCATTTGGAACAAATAAGAGGTTTCATGGCATGACTGACCCTGACTTAGCCTTAAATTTTACCGATCTCTCATCCAATGTCCCACCATTCTGATAATAGAGCAGCTGCGCTCTCCTCTGCCAGCTGAGGTTAGGCAGACCTGGGCCCTCCCTCTCTCTTCTCCCACTCTCGATTCTCCAACATACTGATCTTTCTCTTCTCTGGTTGCTCCGTCCATTTTTCCAGTCTCCCCACTGAACAGGACTTCCAGAGAGTCCAAGGCAAGGGAAGCTGGACTGGTGCTGCAATGCACTTTGGTGCACCTCCAGCTCCTCCTAATTTCCTGTGATGCTTTTAGCTTTTTCTCATCTTTTGCTCATGCCAGTCTTTCCCTCTTTTCAATTTTACTCTCTTGTACCTTCACACCTGTTTACTTCCCATGATCAATAACTGATTCTCTACAAGGGGGAAAAAATGCAAAGTAACATCCCCACTGATCCACAAGAAGTAACTGCTTGCCATGGAACCCATAAAGGGTGTAAGCTGCAGCAGCGCTTCTAAATATTGGGCAATTAATATTTCATGCCGTGGCTGGACTTTCCTCCCCACTTCCACTGTCCCCTTAAACAAATCCTATTTATCATATTAATAATTACATGTCTGACATCTGTGAAATATATACTGGGAATTAAGGGCTAAGCACCTCCCCCGCCATCCTGTAGCACCAATTAAGAAATAAACATACAATCAAGAATTTTTTGAATGAAAAATTAGGAGCTCTTCATAGAGTCAACAGTCGAAGACTGGTTTCTTTTTCATTGCCAAAAAAAACAAAAAACAAAAAACCCTAACCCACAAATTAAGCCTGGAAAAACAACACAAGACAAAGACTCGGATGGTGCAGTCTTGCAATCATGTTCTTTGGATGGTAGTTGCATGGAAAAGTTTAGTATGGAAGCAAACCACTTATATACATAAAATGTATGGATCCTGCTGGTTCTCTATTGTGGACAAATGAAGAGTTTAATTTATATTAAAGTGGGAGAAAAGCTCTTCAATTAACACTGATACACATTTGGGGAACTACGAAAAAATTATTTTTAATTATTCTAAATAATTTTTGTAACTATTATTCATTGGAAATGGTCTATTTTTAATATGTGAATTTATTACACATTTCTAGCATTTTATTCTTACCCTTTGGCAAGTCTAAATTCAAAATATTTTATTCATTCATTCATTTTGTGGTTTCTCTTTTGTGGACAAACAAAACACGTTGGGTGGCAATACATTTTAAACACCTGATTTTGGACCTCTTGTGTCATGTGTCTCTAAAGATGGCTTGCACCACCTGTTTCAGTAATGAGAGATCTGCTTCTTATATATGAATCAATGCTTTTATTAATGAATATGGTGAAGTTTAACTACCCACCAAAGATGTGTAAAAAAATTGCAGAAATAAAAATAAATAAAGCTGCTTTTAATCAGTCTTGTTTTACCATCTCTGTTCAGAATGTAACATTTAGAAACACACAAGTTGTAATTAAAGTTTAAAGTAATCTACTGATATTCAAATTACAGCTTTTAGGACAAATCTAACAATAACTGAAACTGATTTGGTTTTAGGCTTAGCGACTTGAATTTTCAAATACAGTGTCTTGTTTCACAGAGCACGTCCTTTTACTGTGATGGGCAACAGTGATGACATATTGTTGGCTTTTTGACATAAGGCACTCTGATATGAATATGCCATACACTTGCCTTATGTCAGAGATCTGTTGCTGACCAGTGACTTGCATCAGATTAAAACGTAACATTAAATGGTATTCTTCCAGTGCATTTGAGATGGACATCAGGTGAAATCTTTTGGCAAACATTTTGAAATGCAAGCCTGCATTTAATACAGAAGCTTTTTGTCATGCTGCTTGTTTTGCGACAGTCACTGGGAAATAATAGACTATCCATCACTTAGCCTAATACACACACATTCTCATCACCGCTTGGTTCTTCTCTACTGCCATCAGTGTTCTTGAGGCAAAGATGACCCAGTCCCTTTATTCAAGTTCTTCTTACCAAGGTGCTTCTGCTCAAAGCAATCATTCAGTTTCACTCTCCTTTTGCCAGGCACCTGTTAACAAATAGCAAACAGATAAATCTCTGGCATTTCTGTACGGCAAGGGTGCATTTTCCCATTCAGCCTGCTTTCTCATGGCTTCTCTTAAAATATGTTTCTCTTGTGGCGTATTACTGCATCTGTCCAGTATGCAGAACCCAGGACTTTAGGCCGGGCAGAGTGAGATTTTACACACACACACATGGCTGGATAGCATAGTGGTTAGAGCGCCGCCCTTTGATGTGGGAGACTGGGATTTGAATCCCGGCTGGTACCCATCTTACCAGTAGGGGTCCTTGTGCAAAGACCCCCTAACGCTTCACCTGCCTACCTCGGATATGAGATGATATGAACTAGGAGAGTCATGCCGGCTCAGATGTTGCCCGGATTAACCAGGTCCGCACCAGACGTTGGGGAACCAGGACAACTGGACGATAAGTGGGCTACTGGAACAAACCATACATGGACAAGACGAGACCCGGGAATTGATGGAATGCTACTACAACAGTAGACCTAATGAGAGGGGATATATGAAACGTATGATTGAGCTACGGGTGGACAGAAGACCTACATCCACACTAACTGAGAAACAACTAGTTATCCAACACTTCAACATAGTGAAGAGGAAGC